CGTGATAATTTCATCTGACAAGTTGAAATTATCTGTCACATGCAGCATCAACTTCTTATTAAAAATGCACAAGACAGGTCAAACTAAATATTTTTGTCTGATTATGATTAATTGAGTTGAATCCAAAGTGATTTTAAGCTCTAAAGCTTTTAACTGAATGACTTGTTTCCCTTTAACATCACAAATAACTCTCAACACGAACTATCCGTGATATCAACGATCGTAGGAGTAAAACCATCTCACTTTTCAGAACATTATCTTCATTGTTTGTTGCTGTTGTCATTTGTATAAATTGATGATTTCAAGCCCCGAGCAAGTCCTGTAGAAGTCTTATCACTTGTTCATGAAGTCTGCTAGCATATCATTCACGAAGCGCAGCACCAGATCCACAACGCCGTTTATTCGTTCTCATAACCCAGAGGCACCATGGGAGTGACTCTACTGCGCAAACTCAGCGGGCCGCATCATGCGGAAGTGACCCGGAAGCCAGAAACTTTTTCGGCGTATGCAGGCGCCATTTTTAGATCCGGGATCCAGGTCTTCTGATACATCCATGCTCCCTGTCCAGTGTGAAAGGCGTTTAAGCACGGCTCCACCACCAACAGGAGCACCAACCCACGGATGAGACGCGACCCGCAACTGACCACTTTTACCAGCAGTCTGCTCGTCGGCTAGCAGCTCACTGTCAGTCCAAACACTGAGGCTCTCTAACAGTTGGCAAAGCTGAGCGGGGGAGAGGGATGTCAGGACAGCGCTGCACAGATTGCTGCCCCTGAGACCCAGAGTAGAATATGGATGGATGATAGTTTATGAAATGTTTGATGCGTATAAGTCAGACAGGTCTCTAAGATCTGCGTTACATGTGCGCCAAAGAAGGCGACCAAAGCTGGTCTCTACAACATCTTATATTTTATTCATGAAATCATAGAGACTCCGGCTTAAAACATCAAATCATCACGTCATTTTTGTCACCGTGCCCAGCTGCCGTTCAGTCTTCGCATTATCTGCCATCTTGCCGACAGCATCTCAATTTGATGTCTCGTGTAGTGCTGTGTGATTCTGACTGAACTGCCTTTTACAAAGCACCTTTCTAGTCTCAACCACCACTCAAAGCGCTTTACACCGCTAGTCACATTCACAAACACACATTCATACAGCGCATTTCCCATACACACTCACACACTGATGAAAACACTTTGTTTGATCACGCATGAGAAACTTTCGATGTGCCAGAAGAAAGTTCATTAATCCAAAGACCCCAAGATGATCCATAAACACTTTTCCAATGTATAGCGATAAGATGTTTGGCTTGTAATAGGCAGAGATGAACCGACTTACTGTCCCGAGTTCTTAGAGACCAAAAATATAAATCTCCGGTGTTTGGGGATGTTTTTGTGGATTATGTTGTTGTATTATTTCTTTCCAAAAACCCTGTATATAATGCAACTTTAATATTTAGATTTGAGTAATTAATCACATTCTTCATCAGAATCTTTGTAGATCAGTGAATGTGTAACTAGGTTTAACTGACAAAGTCCCTTCTACTCATTAATGTAGAGGTCCAGTGATGATAGCTGAAAAAAGGTGACCCCATAAATAAATGACCCTGTAAATAATGTGTAGCCACTTGCTCAGGTTATGTTTGTATAGTGTTGCTTGTTAAAACCACAGCTCTTTGTTAGTGAGCTATTATTTGCTTAAATCTTTGATCGCAGACTCCAGAGTCATTCTCAGGCCGCTGCAGACACACTCACAGTTATATCGTACACAAAGTGAAAGCAGTCATGTAATTCCATGTTTTTTTGATGTTTTACTGCAATTTGTATTTCAGCTGCAGTCTCACAGCGGAGGGAAAGCTCTGACCTGTGACATCACAGCCCTGCTGTCCAGCCTCCACTGTTTATGTCCACCACACTGACTAATGACAACTAGCTCCACATGTTGCTGTTGAGAGGGAAAGAGATAGAGAGAGAGAGAGAGAGAGAGAGAGAGAGAGAGAGAGAGAGAGACTAACTGTGTTCATCTTTTGCTGGGTTTCCTCCTGTATGATAAAGACTCCACTGTGTTGTGTTTAGTGATTAACTCACTGTTGCTGTGCTTATTTTATCTCTAATAAAGTTTCTTTCTGCTTTAATATTCTGCTAATCCAAACCAAACAGAAGCTCCCTGCTGGTGAACGACTGGAAAGATTTTATTTCTTTTAATGCACAACACACAGTAATATTAAAGAAGACTGATGAAAACATAATCCTGTCGTACGTCCTGCTATCAGTCTGCGTCAGAGCCACAACACAAACAGGCTGAACAGGGTCATTTATTGACCAGTGCTGCTGAACAGCTTCGACTCATTGCAGACTGTCTGTATCATGACTTTCTAATAAAGTAGTGCTTTTTCCTAAAAAATCTGAACCTGGATCCCTTCACTGAGACAGTGAACACTGGTGCTGATGTCTCAGTGTGACCTCAGGTTAAGAGACTGATCAGTAAATATGCAACACAACAGTGTGTAGAGGGAAAGCAGGAGATAGCAGCCGGCTTCTCCATGCTGGAGTTATGTGCTGGAATTATTTCATGGCAACCAGTGGGTTCACAGTGACTTCTTTTTGCTGGTTGCCTGGCAACCTCAGCATGACACCATGACAACAGGACTCTAGACGTCACCGTGTCGGAAGAGAAACAGTTGCAGCAAACAAGTTTCCCCAAAAGAACTTGTCTCCCCCCTGATCGATCTGTAAATAAACCTTGTTCCCAAAATGAGTTTAAAAAAATAAATACAAAAATAATACAACACATGTTATCATCCTGAAAAAGTTACATTCATAAGTAATATAAACTTTCTAACCTTTTTCTGTTCAATTCACTCTTTGCTCGGGTTCTTTAGAATATGGTCTAGAAAGCTCCGTACATGTCTAAAGGCAGATGTCCATGTGTTCTTTGATTATAGATCAGGTCTAGGTTCTATGTTAATACTGTGAAAGTATCAAAGCCTCAGTCCACAGAGAAATGCATACAGCCTGTATTCAGAAACTGAGCCTCAAAACCAGCCGTCAGGACTTCTGGAGCTTTGTGATGTCACAACAAAGCAGTCACCAAGCCCCGCCCACCTGGACCCACCATCTAAACCTTGCAGGATTTGGTTTCTCTGAGTGTTTACCTGAAATCTGCTATAATTTTATTGGATATCTCAGAAAACAACTCAGGCTCAGAGCCTCCTCTCTTCTGATTGGCTCACTGACCTGTTGTTACTAGAGCTCCAGAGAGAAGCCTGAGAGAGGAGATGTAAAACTACACTGAGATGGTTTTTGCAATTGTAATTTGTAGCCATAGCAACAGGAAACAATACACCTGTCTACCACCAGGCTGCATGTATAATGATAAATGACAAGTCGTGAAAAAAAAGAGGAGCAGCGTTCTTTTATTATATAGATATGTTTTTATTAGAAATAAGACACATTCATTTTGTGCTCTGAAAACTGTACATTAACAAAGAGTCGACCCCAGTCAAATAAAAATGGGAGTGAGGGAAAGAGGGAGAGGAGGGAGAGGGGTGTGTGTGTGTGCGTGTGTGTGTGTGTGTGTGTGTTTGTGGCAAGGTAGGCGGCACATCAGGGGGCCGGGTCTGAGGTTGGAGGTCAGGGGTTTCGACAAATACAGATCTGAGGGAGTGACTGGCGATGATATCAAAACACATACTGTTACATTGCGATACAGAACACTCGTATAGTCCAGTAACCTGAAGGAAGGGCAGGTGGGGTGGGTGGGAGGGGGGGGTGGGAGGATCAGTATCAGAATAATTATGTTCATATTTATAATAATGATAACAACTATCCCCAAGCACAGTAAGAAAGATATTTATAGGCTAAAATCCATTCTGTAGAACTCTGTTGAAATAATTACAATGCTGTACATCAGGACTCCAAATGAGCCTTGTGCTTTCTCAGTGTGCAACCACCATCCCTCACAGCAGCTCTGCCTCGTCACCATCACACCGTATATATTTATAGATCTACTCATTTACTCCTCTTCCATTACTCAACACACACACACAAACACACACACACACACACACAAACACACACACGCACTTGAGTACTTTTTCCTTAGCATCTTTGAAACACCGTCATATTTTGCATTTCCTGCTTATACATCGAGTAACTGACCCAAACAGCGTGTCTGTGGAACGTGGCTCCTTCAGGATGCACTGATGTCCATGTTGTCCCTCTGTGGGGCTGCATTGAAGTTGAGGGCCGATTAGAGCGCAGAGCCCAGGGGCCCCGCTCTCCGGCGTCTCTGAGGTGTCCGTCGATGAGGCATCCTGCCATTTTGGCTCGAGGTGATGTCTTCGATTTTTTTTTTTTTTTTTTTTTTAATCCTCCCTTTGCTTGTCGCTGAAGGGCCGACCACGCCCCGCCGGGGTGAGGGGGGGAATAAATGGAAAGAGATTGAGCCAAAAGGATTGGGGTGAGTTGAAGGGGAGGAGAGGGGGGAGGGAGGGGGGGGCACAGCATTGAGGGGCATGTGGATGTGTATTCAGCAGTCTGCCTCCTCACACCTTTGTTAATTTTCCCTGTCGACACAGAAATCAATCCGGAGGCGTCTGGAGCCGTGAACAACATCAGCGTTCATCAGGAGAACGAGAGAGCGAAGGAACAACACTCTCAACAGTGGAAAAGAAGAGACATAATCATGATTATTACATTGCAACCATTTAATACAGGGGTAAACATTGCATGGTTACCTTTGCTATGCTGTTTATTACATGATGCACATACAGCAGCTGGACCAGCTACTCTGGCAAACCGTCCCCCATGTGAGCCAGCGTGATATCTGAGACCATATACAAGAAGATGACGAGTACTGCTGACAAGAACACAGTCCAAACATCAAATGAAACAACAGAGAAAGACACCGTGTTCCCCTTCTCTCTTTAATTGGTTTACGTTGATTTTCTGATATTGTGACGCGTCCCCCCCCCCCCCCCCCCCCCCCCCCTCACGTTCTCGCAATGGGCTTCATCCGGCCTTTGAGTAGAGTACAGAGCAGGGCAGTGTGTGTGGTGTGTCTGCTTGTTTTTGTCTGAGAGCATTGGAAAAAGAAAGAGAGAGTTGTAGGTTTGAGGCCAGGATCTGCTGGTCACACCTCTGTCTGCAGGTCCATGATCTCCTGGCCCACCAGAGGGATGGTGGCGCTGGTCTTCTCCCACTCCACCGTCTGCAGCTCCAGGGGAGAGGCTGCCACCGTCTCCAGGTCCTTCCTCACCCAGGATGGGGGGGAGTGGGTCTTCCTGATGCCCTCCCACGCCCTCTTACTAGGGGTCTGCTGCTTGTCCTAAAGGGAAGAGGACAGAGGGCAAAGGTTTGTCTGAGATCAGATCTGTGATGTGTTTCAGTCATTCTGGTGGATCTACTTTACCTCACACTGTCTCTTAGGAAATAGTTCAACTTTTCTTTTTGTTTTAGTACTCAGTTTCTTGCTGAGAGTCAAATGAAAACATCACCACCACTCTGCATGCTAAGTATGGATCTGAAACTTAGCTTAGCATAAAGAATGAAAACAGAGGGAAGCTAGCCTGGCAGTCCATCAATATGTTTAATCCATACACAAACAACTATTATATATAGTGTATGTTACAATGATATTGTATTATGGTAAATTAAAGGCTGGAATTATTATTGTTGGGGTTATTAGACGTGGGGTTGTGTGAGGTTGTGATCTGTAGTCAGTGTGTTTCCTGCAGTAGATTCAGTTTAGAGACGAAGGAAAGAATATTAATTTTCCAGAACAGATGTTCAAAATAAAGAACAATCGCAGGAAATTGGAACAGGTGGCGCCCCCAATAGGAATAGGTAGTTCAATGGTTAAAGCTGTAGTTCCAAAGCAAAAGTCTGTTTGACTGTAAGATAAAGTGGTGAAAATATTCAAATTAAAATGAACACTTAAACTGATATTACATTTTTTCTGTGGGTATTTTTTTAAAGTGGTTAAAACATGTTTTTCTGCTGACTCTGCCCACAGCAGCTCATCCCTTCTGTCCCAGTGCTCCTGCTGCTTCTCTAACCTGTTACTGCAGGTAACACACTGACTATAGATCAGAACCTCACACAACCCCACGTCTAATAACCTCAACTGTCACTTTAACAGACAGACATGAATTTGTCGTCTAACTCTTGGCAAGAAAGTGAAAACACATATTCTTTGAAATGTCAAACTATTTCTTTATAGCCCTTTGACAAACACTTATAAAAAGATAAGTATAGTATAGCATATATCTACACGACAAGCTAGCTGGCTAAGCTAATAAAGATTTGGGTGAAAATGTGGCACATCCTCAAAACACATCTTGAACCCACAGCGGAGAAGTTGATCTCTCTGCCTCCTCCACTTGATGATTTTACATCACAGTGCTGGGATTCTGCAGGACTATCACAAACATCTGACACTTTCTGAGACTCTGTGTCAATCTGCTGTGACCCTGATATGTTGGAGGTGAAGTTGGCCTTCAGCCGGAGAAGACCTGACTCCAAAGCTGTGAAACAAATGGAGCTCGGGGCTTTTGCAGCAGAAGGAAGTGGGAATCAGCTGCTGCCATGGAATGACTGCAGCTACAAAGCCAACATGTGACTCCCTGCTGTTGGTGACTATTTTCCAACTTATTGTCCCTCTTTTTAATGGGAAGAAAGAAACTGCATAAAGTATTGTCTTAAATCTCACTGCTAGCTGGAGTGAAGCAGAGTGGGAGGAGTCAGTGCTGTTGTTTGTTGACTGACAGCTGGTTCAGGTTTGTAGGGACATAAAACTCATGAGGAACTAAACAGGCTCTTTAATTCTCTGGTTGACTTCATCTCTGTTGTGAAGGTCACTCAGGTTATTGGGTACTTTAATATTTATGTACAGACATTCATTATTTAAACATAAGGTTGAATAATTTAAACTAGTAGCCTTAACATAACTCACCAGTATAGTTTCATTATCAGGGAGAAGGAGGATATCATTAAAAGTCCACTGTGCTAAACTGAAAGTAGCACTTTAGCATTAAGCTAGCCTGCTAGGCTTTTCTGCTACCTGAAACCACTAAGCTACTGTATATTTTTGCTTTCCTTGATCCATTACTAACCATCATCTAGACAAGTAAATGAACCATCACTGGGCCACATGCCTTTTTTCTTCCGGCCTGAATCTGGCCCATATACAGCCCGACTGTCAGATGCCCCAGACAGCAAAAAGAAACTTCTGGCCCAAGATAGGCCTGGGTCCTACACCCGAGTCTGGCCCATATACTTGCACATCTGGGCAGAATCCGGCTGTTGACTGACACCAGGAAAGTTTTCTGTATGTGAGCTAGAATTGGCACAGATGTCGGAAGTAGCATCTGACAATCATGCTGTACATGGAACCGGGTGTATACTGGGCCAGAAGAAAACAAGTATGGGCTGCACTTATTTTGCTATCTGGAGCTACTTCCACATCTGGACCAATTCTGGCGCACACACAGAAAATCTTCCAGCTGTCAGCCGATACCAGGGAACAACAGCCAGAATCTCGCCAGATGTGGAAATGTATGGGCCTGACTCGGGCCAAGGCACCAGACAGATGTCAGTTTCCTTTTGTTATGTGGGTTCTCACTGGATATTGCGTCTACTTGAAACAGATGACATGCATGGATGCAAAACTGGCTCAGTCAGACAGAGAAGGTGAGACTTTTGAAAAATAACGTCGGCCTTAGGACAGGCAGCAGAACGTTAGCTTGTATTAGCTGCTAGCTCAACATGGAGAGTGAGTTTGTCCTGTAGTTAGTATGCCCACCCACAGTCATGCCTTTAGATTCCCCCACAGCAAATTTCCTCTGGCACTTATATTGTTAAGCAGATGCAGTCCTCAAAATGGCTGCGCTAATTAAACAGGCAACTCCACCCAAGTGTGGTGATTTCTACTAATGATAAGTGAAAAGGAGAACAACATTAGATATAGGGGGGAGGAGGGTGGGGGCAGAACAGAATAAAGTTAAACTCTTTACACTCATGTTGGTCTTGTCACTGCTGGCAGAGGACACACTCCATCTTTTGGCAGCTTTGGCATCAACAGGTGGAGACTCTCTATCCTTGTCTGCACTGTGAATCTTCCTGTTCAGGTCCTGAAACATGTCCTGGTGGCGTTTCCGGGTGTGCATTATTTTCTACACAGGAACATTGCACGTTACGCACAGGGTAAACAGCACAGGCTACCATCAATCCTACTTCACCCCCTTCAATCTCACACCCAAACTCTGAGTAAGAAATGTATGCAAACATGTGGAGGTCTGAACAGCTTAGACACATATCAGCCTTTGGTCTACGTCTAAAAAGCTCTGTAGGAATCAAAGAGACTAAAATTACCTCAAAGTCAAGCTCTGCATAGCGTGATTTTCGTCTCTGGGGGGAGATGAGACAGAGAGATTAAAGATGTGTCTTGAAATTGTGTGCCTTAGTTCTTAAGTGTGTCTCCAGTCAAGAAAGGGTGTTTGTGGGACTCGGAGGAGAGGAGTGAGTCATGAGGAGGAGACAAGGTTCGCTCGAGTCATTCTGACCCTGTTGGCACAAGTTTGCAGTTAACAGATTGTGACCGAACGACCTTTAAGTCCTCCGTCACGGAGTGGTGAAGGAAAACTTGACCTTCAGGCTGCTGGGTAGCTGTGGCAGCTGCCGCCTCACACGGCATTATGGGAGTGTGTTTTGCCCCGAAGTGAAAAGACACCAGCAGGCAGATGTCCAGGCCGCTGTGTGCTGATCACCGTGTCATCTCAACGTGCCACTGCTGTCTGGGCTCGGAGCTGACTGAAAACTAACCTTTTTAAAGATGCTGTCTTTACATGGGGCCAGGAAATGCTGGGGTGCTTCTAGTGATGCAGTAAGGGGGCTTAGCATTAAGGGGGGGGGGGGCAGGCTCAGCAGTGGTGCCCTGCACAGACCTGACTATTCATTTCTGAGTGCTATACGAAGGCAGATGGTCTTCAAGAACCTCAAACTGGTCCAGCAGCCTTCGTACAGCCACCACTCAGAAACGCCATGATCTGACTGAGACTCCTCACAGACATATCGATAACTAATCAGTTCATCAATGTCTGGCTTCCTACTTGATCATCTCTGTTCATTATTTCCCATCTGAGGAGGATGAACTTGACAGCGTGTGGCACAATAGATGCCACACAGATGATTGTAGAGCTTGTGACTGTAGTTTACTGTATGAATGGCTGCAGTCCATGCAAACTAATAGATGATGAACAAAAAAGGTTGATGTTTCCTGTAGTGAGAGAGTGAACAGCAAGGAGATATAATGAAGAAGAAACTGATGTTCACCACCATGATGCTACTGTAAATTCTCAAACAAAGCCGGGGGGTGGGGGGGTGGGGTGGGAGGTATCTAACTACATCTTCAGCATTAAGTCCATCAGTACAACAACACTCATCACTCTGTTGTTGCTGTTTGACTCATTTATTCCAATCAGTTCTACTTTGTTGTTTTTTTTGAAGGTCGTTCAGCTCACCACTTCCTGCAGATGTTTCACATTAAAAGCCTCTAGGAAGGGAAAAGGATTATGCACATTACTGAAAGAAGCTTAAAACTGCAAATTAGTAGTGATTGGAATACATTAGTGGAAACAGAGAGAAGTCATTATAGCACAATGTTGCTGTACTGATGAGACCGCTGGCATGTAAATTCATATTATCCTTAATTTATCAAGAAAACAGGTAAATATGGCTGAAGTGTTGAATTAATATTAACATAAAAAGCATCAACAGCACATTAGAACAGGAACAGATCAGAGGACAGGGAGATGTTCTTACATTATTATTCTTACAAATTCAAAGCCTGTTTCTAATATAAACTGATAATATAAAATAAAGGCCTGGTTCTTAAAGCGGATATATAAATATGAAATATTTGAGAATTCATGGTAAGTAGCAGCAGCACAAAAAAAAAACTTTGCATTCATGTCGTATTTTAAATGTGGAGCATGAGGCTGATTATGCTTTGCAATGACAGTTATATGCTGATTAGTTTGGTGGGGTCTCACCTCCAGGGAGCTCATGGACAACGTGGAGACGGTCTCACTCTTGGACATGACACCAGAGTTTCCGGAGTCCCCCCCGTCACACATGCTGTTGGCCCCCTGGGAGTCTCTGGGCATGTTCTGCAGGTTGTGTGCAGGTGAGTCTCTGTCAGAGCATGACACACTGACCTGGTCAGCGGGCAGCGTCTTCAGCCCAAAGCCAGGCACTGGCTCTCCGCTGGCCGTGTTGGCCAGGTGGATGAGCCTCGTCTGAGGCAGCTGCTCTATGTTGATGTTGTACTTGGCCGTCTGCTCTTCCTTCCCCTTGGCCGGCTTCAGAGTGCCCGTGTTGTTGGTGGGTAGGATGACATATCCCGGGCCTTTACCGGCGCCCTCAGAGCTGCTGCCCTCACCGTTCCCTCGGGGCATCTCTCCGTCCAGCTGCTTGAAAAGCTCGCCGTCACAGATGTAGATAGATTTGGCGCCCGGCAGCTCTGTGCTGATTCCCTTCGCCGCGCCTTTCTCCCTGCGAAGCGTCAGAGTGTGACTGTTGTAGTCGGCCACGTTCTGGAGGTGAACCTTCGCCATGCTGGCCGGCATGGTGTTAAAGTTAGATCCCTTCTGCAGGGTGAGGGTCCCAGAGGACGCCTTCTCCTCCCCCTGCAGAGACGAGCGCTTCATAGTGCCTGGAGGGAAAACAAGGACAGAGATGAACAGCTGGACAGAGGCTGGATCTACCTACTGTGGGTCCCTACTGAACCCAGACCCCCCCTTTTCTCAATCTACATTACACTGTGTATCCATTCACTAATATGACCCATGTGATACAGGGCTTTTCAACCAGACACTTAACTAATCAAAATTCACAACCCTAATAATTATTAGTAGATAAACTTTTATATACTATTTAAATGAATATAGATAAAAATAAGCAGATGTGAGTTTCTTCAGACATCTGATCTCCCAGAAACCAGTTCCAGCGAGTCCTCTGTTGGAGAAGTATCTGAACTGACAGGATACGGCTGCCATCGCCCGCCTCGGCCTTGTGACCCAACCTCATTTCACTGTTGGCTCACGGCTCAACGTGTCTATCCCACGCCGTGTCCAGGCCGGTCAACAGCAACAGCCGACCTCACAGTCTCTCTCAGAGCTCCCTCCTCCTCCTCCTCCTCCTCCTCCTCCTCCTCCTCCTCCTGACTGCACACAGAAACAAACATGGCTGCAGCTGCAGAGTCGTGCGCTTCTCCTCGTTGTTCTGTTCCGCTCCTCCAGGTTCCGCCCTCCCGCTGCAGGTGAGGGAGCGCACCTGACACCACCTGTTCTTCAGGGTCAGGAGCACGGAGGAGAGAGGAGGAGGGAGAGGAGGCAGCAGTGCCGCTGGGTCTTTTGGCAGCTTCCAGGCTGTGTGTGTTGGTGTCAGCTGGAGTTGATGTGTACTGAGATCAGGAGCCTCTTCTCTTTGCTGGGAGGCTGCTTGTTGTTTGTTTTCTTCTGATTAGTAGTTTTCTTTGACTTAAACAGTTTAAACCTGAGACGTAGATCAGATTTCTGTCTTTAGTTGCGCTTTACTTTCATCACATTAAGACCAGATGAGACGTACATGTCTAGTATATGATTACATTGTTTTTTAGACGTGTGGCTGAGGAAATTCGCTGTGAGGAAGGAGAAATCCATTATGGGATATTTATTTTGTTTTTTTAAGACACAAAAGAGTGGTTCAGACAATGTCTGACGAGCTGAGTGAGGGGAGGGATACTGAAGCTGATAACAGCTGTTATCTGGATGAAAACAACAATGACGACGACGACTTAGAAGATTCACACACTGACTTTAAGCTGCTGCCAACCAGCTAGTCAAGGTCAGGGTGAGGGACGGCTTCAGCTTTAACTTTGGCTCTTATTGTACATCAATGGCTTTTCCCTCATGTTCATCAATAAAAAAAAAAATCAATAAAAGTTGTAATATACACTTTCCGATGATTCACAATAAAAGCCAAAGGTTTAAGATGTTTTTATTTCATGTCTCTATCTGCTTCAGAGGCTGAGAAATAAAGGTTTTAGTGAATGTCAGGTTTTTCAGAAGACACTCAGGTTTTCAAACAGTACTGAGGATTATTATGTTTTTTTTTTTTTGAAGGTCTTAATGGGTTAAACTAATTTGTTAATTAACTTCCTTATTTGTGTTTATACTTTGTTTCCCTGGGTTAATTTTTATTGTCACTCCCCTCCCCCCTGGATGTAACAAACAACAACAGAACAATAATCTCTCTCTGTTCTCTCCTGTCTGTGCCTCAATAGCTTCTCTGCTCCAGATGATTCTCTTGATATCCTGTCTCTGGTGATAATCAGATTTTCACTCCCAGCAGATATCAGAGCAGAGCAAGTATCTGATGCAGCACTGTCGGGAGGGACTTAATTATACAGCTGCAGTGTAGGAGAGACTCTGACAGCCCTATTTATCTGCATATAACTGCTCAGCACATGTTCGGCCCACTCCCATCAGCCCGGGCTAAACTGTGTTATGCTGCAGTAATGTTGTATTATACAAGTCCAGAACTGAGGGGAACATGCCTCACATCTGCTACGACAACGTGCAGGAATCTGAAGCAGTGGAAACACAGAGAGGAGGCACAAAGAGACATCTGCAGCTTTTTTTCCCGGCAGCACTCCCAAAAGTCAAATCTGATGCTCACGCAAACACAAAATGAAAGCCACTCAGCCTGGAGCTTACCTGATCTGCAGGCCATGTCCACGTCCTTCTCAAAGTCAGTCTGAGGACACAGGACAGTCGTTATTGGATCCACTCTGCACATGCTGCCAATATTTAATAAGAAACAACACCAAACATATGCATGTCCATACCATGAGCTGAGCGTGGCCGTTCTGGAAAGATCCTCCTGAGTCTCCATTCGCGTCCTCCTGCCGGTCCACGACACGACACTTCACTGCCTCCTGGACCTATTGCAAACCGTCAGAGCACAGAGCGTGGTCTCAGCGCAGGTTTATAAACTAGTAGTTTCACTTCACTAACGCTGAACGTGAGGCCTGTTGTAAACAGAGAGAGGTCCCTGGAAGCGGCCATGTTCAAACAAACCAGTAGTGGGGCTAAAAAAAGTATGAGCTCCAAGTTCCTGTGGCACTACAGGGGTCATGGGGTCATCAAACTCAAAAAGGCTCACCCCATTGGGAACTGGAAGGTGCTCAAGAAGTGCCACCCCTTTATCTCCAGCCAATACCTCATCACAGACATCAAGTCCATCCTGACCACTTTCTGTAGAGGGAAGCTTGAGTTGTTAGTGATCCTTCATCTAATTTCCCTCAGTTTTATGTTGCTGTTCTTTCGTTGAGAGCCCAGACATTTCAAATGGAACTAAACGCTTCAGCGTTTCACATTAAAAGCCCTGTAGTAGCTCAGGGGCAGATTCTTCCACTTCTCTGGAAGGTTTTTAATGTGAAAGAGTAGCAGGAAGTGTAGAGTAGAAGTAGAATAGACTGAATGAGTACAGCAGAGTAATAAAGAGAACATGACTCTATTATACTGATGAAGTTAGAGCTGTGAAAATGTACATTATACTGAATTTACCAGTATAAGACTAAGAGCCAGAGGAGAAGTCACCACAACTAAACTTCATCTGGTAGTTTGATTTAGCTCTGACCTCTTCTACAAAAGCCTTTCCTCTGACAGAGTTAGTGACAGTTTGTATAAAGACAACGAGGCTGTAAAGGTGGACTGGAGAGTAGAAAAGTTTTTATATTCAACGTGACAACGTTTAGTGTCCCCGACAACCTCTGTAGTCTCATTTAGACACTCATTAGCAACTGAGATATAAAAGCTTCAAGAAATCAGGACTGAGGTATTTACTGATCTATTTTATGTTGTAGAATAAAATGTGAAAATGTCTTGAGTTTGTGTTAAACACAGACCTGATTTCAGTCATCGAACCAAAAACCCATTCACACACCAAAAACTAGAATTACTGGCTTGGGGTTGTCTGCCTCCACCAAAACACTCTTTGTGTTCATGAGATATTGCATTCACCAGGCCAAAACCCTGTTATGTTAGGTCACTATGACCTTGACCTTTCACCTTTGACCACCAAAGTCTAATCAGTTCCTCCTCAAGTCCCAATGAACGTTTGTCCCAAATTTTAAGAAATTCTGTCAAAGTGTTACTGAGATATCATGTTTACGTAAGGACAGACGGACGGACAACCCGGCGACAGTCAGAGCCGGAGACGTATCATTCTGGACGAAGGAACAGGAAGTGCTAAAATGCTAAAAACTAGTGTCTGGGTCTTAGGACTCATTCCTACAGAACTCTGTTGGCAAAAGAAAAGGTCAGGAGTTGCCATACATCACGGATAATTGGACATCATGACCACATAGGTCAAAGGATAATTTGGTTGATGGTGATGTTAGATGAAAGTCAAAATCCATAGTCCACTGAGGACACCACTGTAACAGTTGTCAGTCGCTCTGGACCAAAGTGTTGACTGAATGAATGGATGGACCAGCTGACCAACACGGCCATTCATGTGTTGCAGGTAAATATTCAGTCTGGCCTCTGCTAAGATATTCATTGTAGAACTAATCAATCCAGCACAAACTGGATTCCAGCGATTATAGCGTCAAACAAAAGCAGGAAGTAGTAAATCTGTGAGGTCGGTGGTCCTGTACCTCTCTGCGCAGGATGCAGTGCACCATGACAATGACGAAGCCTTCCAGGGAGTCAAAGACAGCAAACAGGATCTGGAAGAGCGCCGAGCGCCGATCAGTGATGGCGAGGACCGCCGACATCCAGGTGAGGGCCAGGAGGGGCAGAACCACGCAGGAGCTCCACAGTGACGCCCTGCAGGACGGGATGGATGACAGTCAAGGACTGCGCTAACAAACCTTTGTCAACATGCCACAAACTGACAATTATGCTGTAAGACATTTCATTATTAGCTAGGATCACTAGTCTTCTATACAAATCAACTCCAACAGGTAACTGGATTTCTTCTTTCATAACATCAAAAAAAAAAGTAAAGGATGTTCTTAACACAATCTTAAACCAGGATCCTATGTGCCCTAGATAACTGCCCACGCTGTTAGCATAGTGTTAGCAGCCTTCAACTCAAACATGCATAAATACATAACATCACCACAAATAATTATGTTACTATCACAAACAAAAACATACATCCATTATCTGCAGATATATATGTTCATAATTCACATATATTACATGCATGTATGTTTTAAGATGGTTCAGTCAAACCATAGAGGATCTAGTGCCACAGGAGAGAGAGGAGGAGCGAGGGTGAGCAGTGGGGAAAAACGAGTGTAATGAGGCTGAAACAGAATGCAAAGATAAACTGAAGAGGCAGAGCAGAGGAGGACAGAGACAGAGAGAGAGTCTGGAGAAGTGTTGTTCCCCCTGCCCATGTTTGTCTGACTCGTTCTATTGGTTCTAATGTTGCACATCAGGAGTAAACAACAACAATAAACTACTCTCAGTGTGAGGGTCATCCAATTATCTTCCTATTAAACGAGTGTTGAGAGAAAATTCCAGAGGTGGAAAAAGACTAAAGACCCTTACTCAAGTGAAATGAATAATAAAGAAAAAGAGAGCTTTTAATATTTCACTGTTTCCAATCTCTTCTACTTTGCCGTTTTTTCAACCCGTGTTAAGCTGCTGTTGATGAAACCTCCTGGAAGGAGGAGGAATATGCTTTTAATGCTTTTAATGTTTAAAATCTATCAAGTGTGACATCTTTTTGCCTGGAGCTTAACACTGAACAAAAATCAAACAACTAACAACTAATAAAAAAAACAAAACAAAAAAAAACAAAAAAAACAAACAAAAAAAAAACCAACACAACATAAATGGAGAGTCTGTTGCTGACTCTGGTCTTAGACAAGAATATACATTAACCTGAATCCTGAATAAAACATGGGGAATTAGAGCTAAATTTCTGTCTCTAATTTACCTCTGTTTCAAATAAAGACCTGGTTCTCTCTTGAATGATTTGAGAACTTATGGTGCGACTGTTTCATAAACCTTTGAATAGAGTGTACTTGTCGTAGCCGCTCTAACAGCAGGTGTAGAGTGAGAGGACACACGGTGCTTATGCTGCATTCATGTCACATGAAAACATCATTTCTGACTTTAAACTGACATCCAAATAATCATGACTAATGTATGAGGCAAGTGAGCACATGTTTCCTGCAAGGCATTACTAATCAAGCAATGATGACACAGCCACTAGAAATCATGCACTTATAGAGATGTAATGGGCGGAAATATCAATTAAAAATCATATATATGAAAAAAAAAAACTGTCTGTATCAGTATAACACTGCTGCTAACAAGACAAAGCGTTTTATGAAAATATGTTTACAAAAAAAGCATTTGACGCTAACTACTTTTAATGAATTAATAAAATATCGTCTTATCTGTCAGACTGTCTTATTCAAATACATCACTTTTCTAATGCACATTAAGGGGTTTGTATTTAATGAATTATTCTGCAAAGTAAAATGCGAAACATCAGACAAGGTGATAAAGTAAAAACTGAAATTATTTCCCTCCAAAATGTCAGCAAGTAAAAGAGGAAGCAGTATGAAAAACTCTGCACTGCCTAATTACACGCGCTTCGTTACTTTCCACCTCTGGTATTAAACTGGGCGAGGCGTGTGTCTACAGTGTGTGGGTTTGCTGATGCTGTGCTCCATGATATGAATCCTTTCTCAGAGGTGTCTCCACCCTGCCCACACTGACACTGTGGTGGACAAACTCAAGTACCTCAGCAATAGTTTAGGTATGAAACCGGTCACAGTTAAAGATGCTGAAAGTCGCCACAATAGATCAGTTCTACATTCAGACGGACCACTCAGTTATTTTCAGTCTGGACCTTCATCATCTATGACCAACATCATGTGACTGTGGACTTAACATCTCACATGGTGTTAGATCTACTATTTTCACTGAATGCATACTTCAGACTCTGTGGACCCGTTAGCAATAATTAGCATTATGTTCTTTTGGTTCTCGGATGTTACAAACATGTGAAACATGTCAACACGAGCATAAAACAAGAGTGTAACATGTGGAAGGTAATCCATCGATGTTGGCTGAGCTGGATAGAAAACAATCAATACAACACTAATTAAAGCCTGTTTATACAGTAGAGGCTGACATGTGATTGTAGAACTTGTGGACCATGGAGGGACCAGAAGAAACACGATTATTTTAAAAAGTCTGACTATTGTATCGAGACACACTAATTTTATTTAGGAAGAGATTCTGTTGTCTAGACGAAATAAAGAATAAAATGTACAGGACCGTGGTGGAACCACAAGACACATTACTGTATGAACATTTAAAAGTGCTTCCTCTATACTCATTTCATTCAGGAGATTCTGTGTCAACACTGAACACTGGAAGTGAATATACAAAATGAAACAGGATTGGGACTAAAAGTGAGGACATCGGGTATAAATCCTCATATTACAACGACCTGCAGTGCTTTGTGGGTAATTCAATTCTTAACACATTGACTGGCCAGAAACAAAATTAATTTGTGTGATGTGTGTGTAGTGCGTCAGTGATCTCACATCACAGACTATGAACTGAAATCATGTGCATTAGTCGTTAAGTCACAGCTTTTAAAGCATTAGTAGCTGTTTAGAGGAGAAAATTAACCTCAACAGTTCTGGTTAGATTCTATTGGCACTAGTAGAAAATGAAAGTCCAGGCTGAAAATAATAACAACAACACATCCACAGCACGCGACAACACCACTATCACACACACCAACACACACACACACACACACACACACAATAAAAAGTGCTTGATGTCCTCTCTGCATACAGAGTCACGGCCTTCTCAACATCTGTTCTAATCATCTTTGTGACTTTCTTCTGACTCACACACACACCCACACACACACGCTTATTCCATCACATATGCATCAAGATTATTATTTACACATAAACAGTTATGACACAGTTTGTTTTCAGGAGCAGCACATTAGCTTCAGGAGTCTCTCATTCCCTGCCAGGGCACCAGGGAGAAGAACAAATGACAGAGGGGTAAAAGGTCAGAGAAACGACCAGGAGAGGGGGGGAGAGGGAGGCGTACAGCAGAGGAGAGAACAGAGGCAAGAAGAAGAGTTAAGGAAAAATAATTAGCGGGACTAACATGGCGTTACTGGTAGCTGTGGTGGAAACGTCAGCCGAAGAGATAACTCCGCACTTGGCACATTTGAGCGTCATATTGTACAGTGGCACTGTCATCTGACTGCAAAGTCAAATTAACACGCTGTAACATACACAAACAGATACAGATGCACCTATACACAGACTCGCAGAGATGCGCGTGCGCACACGAGCACACACAAAAACAGTCACGCAAAACAGTGAGTCACAGGGGTCTCGCACAATCTCTCTCTCAGGGCTGCAGTCCAGCATGGAGTCTGGTGTGTGTGTTTGTGTGTGTGTGTGGTTCTGGGGACAGGAGAGGTGTTTCATATCACACATGATGTCTGGTCGTCTTCACAAACCACTGGTTTGATGTGGGACTCTTCTCTATCTGTGCTGACTAACACTTATCAGTAATGCAAAGATTCACACACTCACATCTCAGAGCTTCTCTCATGAACACACACACACACACACACGTACAAGCAACAAGCTCTATCAGTCGTTACATTCAGCGTTCACTAAGGACAAATTCTGCCACAAAATATCAATACACTCAATCGCTGTGTCCCAGTTCAGGGGCCACACCTCCGTAGACTGTGAAAGCCGAACCAAAATGAGAGCTAAAAAATGAGAACCAGCTGTTCCCGCCCTTACTGTTGCGTCACAAAGTGTGGCTCCTGTCACCTGGCAACCTTGACAGCATGTAACTATTCTTTTCAAAAACTTAGGTTTTAAGGCCCTTGGTTTTAACAGTTGTACCGTTAGCTGTTGAACTGAGCTGAAACACAATACTTACTGTACATTTAACAGTGTAATCCTGTTTGCTGAAACATTATGTTCATTATCAGCGTGCAATGAATCTTGGGATATGTTGGACTACAAAGGATCCACCTGTTGGATCCTTCATTATCCAGGAAAACAATGATGCATTTGAAAGAGCCTTTGAAATGGGAAAGTCTAGTCATACAACTGTGACACAATCAGGCTTGAGATGCAGCCTCTGAAGGATGAGACCCTGAATTTAGACACAGCAGATATATTGCAGGAGTTCATTTATCAACTAATTAAGGCATTACAGAATCCATGGTCCTGCAGGTAAAAGTCCTGTTCATTTTAAATTCACTACATGGACAATAAGAGGTCGACAGTTGGTTTGAGACATGAGAAACGTCCGTTTTACTTTGTACCCGTGTCTCCTGACTCTGTTGGTCATGATCACATTGTGCTCCCTAAAGAAACTGCTGAGATCTCAGAATGTGGAAACATTGGTAAAAATAGGTCCAATGGATCAAGTATAAGCCTGATGATCAGACGGAATCTATTAAATTACACTTCACCTTCATTTTCTCTCCGAAATCAGCTCAACTAACCTGGACATCTGTTCCCAACCTGACTGTCATTGTGCTTCAATCTGATCAACTTTTACAGTGTTATCAAAACTACCAGAACACCCAGAGGTTTAGGTAAGAAGACTGCCGCAAAACTTGAGAGGCATTTTTTTCATATTAACAAACTCAACCAATGAGTCTAATATTGAGGTGCTAACAGGGAGAGGAAGTCAAAGATTTCACTGACCTCATCTTTATCGTTATCTTACAATGACCTTTTGGACTGAGTGAATTCTATGGTGCAGTGTTTTGTTTCCAATTGTGATAAAGTGTTTTGAATTACCTCCAGCACTGCATGTCAGAAGAAAAACCTCTGGAACCAGTAGCTCCCCCAACTTCATAACTCCTGAATATATAAAAGAAATGGGAGTGACACCAAAACCTGATGTTTACTGTTGATTTACTAGAACACTGAATAATTTCCATCAGTATCTAATAAAACAGCATTAAATGATTTCCTTTTTTTTCTTCGAACATCCAATCCTCCCAAAACTTCCCAAACCATCAGGGTTCCATTTATAACTCTGACAAAGACTGACTAGAAGGCTGCAGATATCGACAGGTAATAACAAACTCATCTGTTACCATATGGCCTCCTGCTAAACAACAATTAAAGCTGAGGAGCTGAAGGAATCGATTCTTTAGCCTCTGGAAGCCTGGATTAAAAAAATCACATAATGGAAGAAATTCAATTTCAAGTAAAAGGGCAATACAGCTGCTAAATGTACACTGTAGGCAATGATATTAAAAAGCAATCCACACTTGAAATACAACACCACTTCCCCACACTTAAGGACCAAGAGGCAAAAAGTGGGTGGTTGGGTGGGTGGGGTGAGTTACAGAAAGCTAAATAAATATCTAATATGGACTAACCTCACATTGATTGGCTACAAACTGGTCAAACATAACCCTTCTTCTATCAGCTTTAATAAAGTTTTGCATCACATGGACTGTAAGGAATTGTAAGTACTTGCTTAAAGGGGTGTTATGTTCTCTCTGCTGCCAAACGTGGTGGTGAGTGTGGCTTGACAAGAGCTTCGGCCATTGTTGTTTTTATACTGGAGGCCACAGTAAGACGCTAGCTAGCTGGTTAGCATGCTAACTTCATTACAAGACGTGATAGAGACAAGAGTTACCATTGGTGTTTGTTTCCTGTCAGGAGACAGATGTTGGTGAGTAAAGAATGAAGTTCCATGCTGAACTTACAAAGTGGTAAGTAAACTACTTACTGCTAATGCTAGCTATGTGTGTTATCTATGCTAGCAATAACAAAATTTATAAATAGCTCCTTCAAGCTACAACAAGCCTTCTCATCTAAAAGCTTCATCTACTGTTACAACCCCTAAACACACAGGCTTGATGACAGAGGAAACATCCTCTCCTGTCTGCTCTTGTTTCTCTGAGCATTAGTTCCTAATTTTGGAGGGAAAAGGAGAGTCAGCAACGAGGGGGGAGACCCAGCCGTGAGCCCCGTCTGAGGGGGGGCTGACCTGCCTGGTGCAGATGCTGCTGCATGCTTAATTAGATGTTGCATAAATTAATTAGCTTCATTAAAAATGTTTTGAGTTTTAACTTTGAGAAACACATGCAAGAGGTGGTGAGTCTGGGGGAGTGACGGAGATGGCACCGAAAGGGATGTAAGTTATTCCTCTTTCCTTTTTTTGTCCACCACAGACAAAACTGCAAAAACAGCCACGTCACCACAAAGTCAGCACAACCGATAAAACCTCATTTCAAACCAGTGAGCTCAAACTCAGGCAACTAACAACCACCGAGCCAGAACAGCCACAGCATCTGCAGTCTGGATTTACATTCTTAACTCACCGTGACCCACGAAAACGCTTCAGAGAGACTGTGACTGCAAACTGTGAGCATGGAGGGAAAGATAAGATCCAAGGTCACTGGGAGAAGTGGATCTCACAAAAACCACACGATATGATGTGCAGAAGTGATCAAAGTACAACTTGGTCGATAAATTGGCTTTAACTTGTTTTCTTGAAGATATAATGTGATCAAAACAAGCAGATAGATACAGGCCAACTGTGCTCGTCATGGTATTTACGAGTTAAAGGGGACTTCCACTGATTTCATACAACATGTCTTGTGGAGTGCAAAAAAAGTTGCATAAAGATTTTGTGGCTCCAGAGAGATAGACAGAAGTGAGTTTATCAGACTTCTGTCACCTGCTCCTCATCTGGACTTGAGGCTACATTAGCCGCTAACAGTGCAACACATTTGCATCTCTGACTGAACTTACGATTGGATGAGTTGCATTGTGGGTTATGAAGGTGTCAGCGATTTTGATCCTGTCATTTCTAAACTGTCCAATGCTATGGCCCACATGGTGGTGGCTCCATGCTGTTTCTGGCTAATGCTGACCGGACCCCAGGTCAGCAGACCCTCCCACCATCATCATCTTTAACTGGGGGAGATGACTCTTTTCTACACAACCCGTAGTAATTCCCTCAAATATTCCACTTCATGCAGGAGGCTCACCATCAGAGCCGAGGAGTTCAGATACAGTATCTGACAGGAGGTCGGAGGAGAACAGCTGTTCTGTCATATTGAAATAACGCAGCTTGGGTGGTTGGGCCTCCCTGTGAGCTCACTGTCCCAAAGACTGGCTGCACTCATCCACGGATCAACAGAAGTCCAGCTTCAAGACTTGTGGAGGGACAAGAGTGGAACAGACACCAGTGCAAATGCTGAATCAAAATGAATGACAAAACATTCTCAACTCAAGGTTCACTTACTAATTATTTGATGTGAAGTCTTAAACGTTGGCCGTGTAATAGCAAGTGAACATTTCTGTTCAGATCTGGGGCCTGGAGCGAGGCGCTGCGCTAACGATGCTAACAAGAGTGTATGCTTGCCAGTTATTAAACCTTTCAGACTGTAAATAAAGATGGACGTAGTCTCTGTGACTTCTTCCACAGGTTTCTGAAGCTCAGAGTGAGCTGCTCCACCATCGCCATCTTGGCAATGCCTGACTCTACCCCTAACTCCCAGCTAATCAAAAAATAGGCAGAGGAGGGGCATGTGTGGAACTGAGACTGTAAACATGTTAAAGTTGAAAGTCTGAGCTTCAAAACCACTCTTCAGAAATCTTTAGAAACCTTCAGTAACCTTCAGAAACGTCCATCTTTATATCCAGTCTATAGCACATACACTTTGAGTACGGCTCCTAAACACAGTTTTATAAATGAGGCCCCTGGTCTTTGTTGGATGTCAATGTCCACCATGAACCTTAAACTCAGATTACTGAGATCTCAGGGTCAGTACAGTTGAGAACAATGGTGTCTGATCTTGGCTCACAACAAATAACTAAACAACATAACTGGGGAGAATGTGCTGAACTGACTGTCATTCACATCTAGTTGAAAGAAAAGCAGCAGACCACCAGTCCTTCCTTCGTCAGACAATCTGTGTTTCTACAATTTACTCCATCAGTCGCACAGTACACACTCTACTGACTACCATACTAACCTTGCACACATTCATTCCCACACCATGCAAGTGAACAGAAAATATTAATATTGCTGCGCTGCAACTACCAGTTTGTTATTGTTGAAAAAAAAAGTCACTGTTTTTCTAAAAGCATACCAGAGATAGTCAGATCCTGAGGCGGTAATGGGTTAATCTATCCAGCTAAGAGGAGGCAGCATAAATTGCAAGGTCAACAGTGAGATAGTGAGGTAAATAGGCAGGAAATAATAGTAAGCCAATCAGAGGTGCTTGCTAGAGGATTCAGCAAGTTTGGTGATGGGCAGGGCTGGTAGCCATACATTAAGAAGAGGGTGGGATGGGCAGGTATTTTTACCCAATCACTGATGACATGGGAGGGGGCTTCTGAGACTGATGTTTTCCTGATTGGAGAGCCCTGAGTGAGAGAGAGGGGATTCTGTGCAAACTCAAACATGACATTTCAAACAGCAAAAACAAGTACAGTTGAAACAGAGAAATCATTGAAGAAAGCAAACATTTTCAGAGAGAGAAAGAAAAGAACATTTGAATGCACCAACAATGCCAATGGAGACAAAACAGCCTGCAGGCAAAGGGGAGCAGGGTGCAGCTATGATACAGAGCGGCCCAATAACATTTTACACTCCAGTCACTAGTAGCTAGAGTCAATTTTCATGCCAACAGTGTCATGTGTTCTTTACCTATTCCTAATCAATCTGGAAAATATGCTTGCTGCCGAACCCACAGTCAGATGAGACGACTGATGTGTTTAGAGTAGCGTTCAAACTAGACCTGGTTCCCCACTGTTAGGAAAGAACTTTTAACCTGCTGTGTGCAGCCATTCATTGGTTGTTGGTCAACATCTTGAATGTGGGTATTTTACATTTACTATTTTACATACACTGACCCCTGCTTTCACTTGTCGCCTGACTGGCAGCAGACTGGATTTCTACACCTATCCTTACAGGTGTTGAATCTACATGGTGAGGGCCACACATTGTTAATTTGGTCCCAGCAGGCCCATGGCTACAGGCACAGCCTCCGGGCGCTTGTCTGCAGTCATCTAACAGGTGTAACTCTTGCCCCAGTTTTCTAATGCTGGCTGTCGTAGGATTCTTTGAATTGCCCCCCAGTACGGCCCCTGACCTGGGTCTAATTTGCCTTTGAAGACACTATCAACAATGCTACCCTACACTGAGACATAATATTTAACACTGATGATGATGCATCAGGTGGAGCTATATGTGCACACTGTCCAACTTCATCTGATGTCGTATCTCCATAACTTCTCTGAACTCTGAACGACAGAAGCTCAGCAGCAAAAAAGATTCTAAAGAAAAATGACAGTTTATTACAACCTAGCTTTTACTTCTACAGCTCTGGTCACTGGTTCTGTTGGTAATGATGACACTGTATTTCCCAAAGTAAGTGCTGAGATCTTTCTGCCCTGTCAGAACTTCCTGTAATCTCAGCATCTACTTTGTTAATTACAACGTTATAACCAACAGATAACAGATCTTGGTGAGGTCTTACCCTGCTTCCCTTTACTAGAAACAACCAAACAGGAGAAAAAAGACATGGATGGATCTACAGAGCTTTACATCGATAGCAACACCTGCAAACAAAGAGCAGCTGGAGGAAAATGCAACACATTTGAAACTTAAAAAAGACAGCAATGAGATGAGTCATCATCTTGCTCAGTCTGTGCAGGACCAATAACCAGACACCCTTCCCCACATTTATCTCTAATTCAGAAGCACTGATCATAGTTTTTGTCTATATGAGAAAACACACAGTCTTCAGGTCTCTTATCTTATTTTTGATTAAATTAGTCACATTTCTCTTTCATCTGTTTTTCTCTTCTTCTCACCCTCCTGTTCTTAAAAACGAAAATGTTTATTTTCAGCCAATTTGCCAAAGTCTGGAAGGGTGGGCTAGGATCACATCAAATAAAGAGCCAATAACTGTGCTTGTCCTCCCCCCTAGCTGAGCCATCAGGCTGGTTATAGGTCACTGTGTAAAATGGATGTGTGGTATAAGGCATACCCCGCCCTCTCCTTTAGTTTCATATCAGTAATTCCGTCTTTGGACACCAGTTTGTTAAAAACGAGAATCCCAATAACCATGTTAACCTGCCAAAGAGAAGAGGCACAGGATTAAAGCAGATCAGAGACAGTTTCATCACTTCACCACATGCAGCACTACTCTGTTGATGATGATGATAGATGATGATAATGATGAGACATGCACACACACGTCATCACACACAAGCTAGCTGTACTTACTGTAGGCTGTGCACTGTAAAGACTAAGACTCTTAAACATTAGAGACAAAATCTATCAGGCACCCGATGAAGCATGACAAGTACAAAATAGTTGGGGTGGATTGTTAACATATAAATTAATTTTTCAATATAGACAGTGTGCTGAAAAAAGAAATCATACATAAAATATGAGCTGTGTGAAATCAAAGGCAGGGGGATGGGGGATATCCTTGACTGTAGTAATTCCTACAATTTTAGCGCTTTGAGGGTTCAGCGTCTATAAAAACGTGTTGTGCGAGCCGCTCTGATGCTCTTCAGAGCGAGACGGGCCTCCAGTGTGGCTGCCAACTGGAGCAGTAGCCCTTTATTAGAGAAGCAGCTTGTGTAGAAAGGACACTAAACCAAGCTGTTCACTTGTAGGCGGGAAGAAGAACCGCGAAGTGAATCACTGAAACCGTAGCTAATGGATTTGATTTGTGAAACAAGGACACAGTGTCGGTGCAGAACGAGTTCTGCCAGCGCTCCTGCCTGTGATTTACCTCAGATGTAGGTTGAACATGAGGGGAGCTGAGCTAATGATTATACAGTTGTAAGCAAAGGTTTGGCCAAATTACATAATCTGTGGATTTTTGAACTGAAAAGACATAAATACAAATTCAAAACTCAGCTTCACATGTTGCTGCTCTGCTTCATTTCAGTTTAAGAACATAAAAAATAGAAAAGAAAAATTAAACAGTAGCCGAATTGTGCCATGTGCAAAAGTTTGGGTACCGTGCTAAGTCAGTAGTTGAAGGAGCTATTTGTAAGATTTGCTAATGCTAAAAAGCTAACGTTAGCATTAACAGCTGTTTACTTACAGACATGCTGAGAGCTTCAGCCATTGCTGCGTTTACAATACAAGATGTTATAATACGTCCTCTGAGCAGCACTACAGTCACTTAGTATCAGAAAGTCACAAGGTGATCTAGCTAGTTAAATTGCTAGCTTCTTCTTCTTCTTGAGTTTCCAGAAGACCAGATGCCTTGTGGTACATACACATTCAGAGTGATTGAATTCAGCTCTTCATTGTAACACTCTTTATGCCCAGGCATGATACTGCAGCATGCAGCCTTTTAGCTTGCTAGCTGGTTAGCATGCTAACCTCAGTAGAAGAAAAGACATGATAGTGACAAACGTTAACATTGGTGTTTGTTTCCACCTCTAGAGACAGTCGGTGAGTAAAAGAATGAAGTTTGATGCTGAATTCACGTTTCTTCTAGACTGGTAGGTAAACAGCTGCTAATGCTAACGTTAGCTGTGTAGCATTAGCAAAACTTAAAAATAGCTCCATTGTGTGAGTTTGTGAATTAAAACATGGTTTTGCATATAACTGTATATAAATTAATCTCATGATTGAGAAATGAGGAAAAAATCAGTTGCATTCATATAACCTAATGTATGAATATAGCTGCTGAGTTCAATGTGTTCTATATTGATACAATATCACTTTCCAAAGCAACTTATACTATGTTACCTTTATTATTGCTTTATTAATGCTAATTTGGACTTCATGTTTTAGGTGTCCCTATATATGATTTTAACAAACATCTGCCTGCCAACTGGAAGCTAAATTGTTCAAAGACATTTTGTAAATACAAAATACATAGTGCTCAAGTTATTGATTATTTCCACAATAAAATCCTACCTGTAATGTTGACATTGTAAAATAAATATTAATCTATACTGTTTTTACCACTTAGCACAGAGCTAAAGTTAAACTCAGTTTGCTGCTGTTTTACCTGAGCAGAAACTACCACAACCTGACCCGCAGAAAGCTTAGTAATAATAATAATAACAATAATAATAATAATAATAATGAGCGAAGGAGGAGGCTGGTTAAGAAGGCAAGAAAAGAACATGTAGGGAAGGAGAAGCGAAGGTAAATAAGAAAAGGATTATGGCAGAAAGCAAAGGAGGAAGTAAGACAGAGAAGGTGGGGATAGGGAGGTGAAACAGGAGGTAAATAAGGAAAAGGAAGAAAGCAAGAGAAGAAAACAAAGTGGGGGTGCAAAAGAGAAGGTAAAGGAAGGAGGTAAATAAGGACAAGAAGGAAAGGCAGAATTGGGAAAGGAAAAGAGATAACTGGGGGAAGCAACAGAATAAGCAAATGAGGAAAGAAGGAGGCAGGGAAGAAAAAGAGGATGTAAATAAGCTACAGGAGGAGCCAGGGAAGGAAAGGAGGCAGTAAACAAGGAAAGGAGGAGGTGAGGAAAGGAAGAAGCAGAGAAGATAAAGTAAACAGGGAAAACGATGAATTTCCTCCTTTAAGTTTATTGGTTTTCAGCTAGTCCGTGTTCTTTTACTCAGTTAGTTTGGACACACAGGGTCAGAGAGCTGACACCACTGCCCATTGTTTGTCTCCAGCCTTGTGCGTGTGCACCTGCTCCACCATCACCAACAACTACAGCTGGAACCAAGGTGAGCAAGAGGCGCCTTAGAGTCCCAGGGACAGGTCAGACTTTAGATCGGGTTTGGGTTTAAGTATCCGATACAAGTACGTGAGATGTGGAATAGACTTATTAGGGAATATAATTGGTAACAGGTGAGCTTGAGCCATGTTACACCTGGTGGGTCTGTCTACGCCCTCTCCAGGGGACAGTGTTATACAAGTTAACCCGTCGTCCGTTCCCTGTCTACTCTGTGCATTGATCAATGATGAATACTTCGTCTTAACACGTCTGACATCTCTTTATCCAGCGCGCAGGGTTTCCATCACAACCACAGGGCTGTTGACTTTGTGATGGTCTTATTGTTTATGTTTTTAATACTGAGATCTCTTTAATCTTGTTTTTAGTTTTTTTTTTTTATCTAGTTTTTCTTATCCATTGCAGATAACCAACATTATTACTAAGGTTGTTAACATTATTAATATTATAAAGCCCTGCACAGACTACATGTGTGTTGTGTATAAAAACTGTTGCTATTTAGTGGAATTTGATTTGATGTAGGGGTGTTAAAAGCAAAACATGAAAAACAGACTAAAGATGAAAAAGGAAATACCAAGACAACAGCTGCAGCAGGTCCAACAAATGCATAAAGAAGACCTCCTTCCAGAGACAGCCAGCAGCTACGAGAGAGGAGCAGGAAAATAGAGAAAGAGAGATGATTAGAAAAAGAGGCGGGGACGGGGGGAGGGGGGGATGGAGGGTTGTAGAGAGGAGGGACAGAATGAGGTGAAAGGTAGAGGAACGTATGCATGACATGAACGGAAGGTAAAAGATAAAGAGAGGTTAAATACGCTGCAAACATAAACCCACACAAACCCCTGCATTAATACTTCAAGAGGAGGAGGGATACAGTGGTAGGTAGTCTATAGAAAAGCCTGCTTACTAGCTCGGTGTTCCGTATCCCTTTGCCTTGGTGAATCCGACTGAGATCGCAACTACAAGTGCAGGGAGACCTGGAGGAAGAAAACAGTGGACATCAACACAGGAGACATGAGAGAGACATATGAGTGACATAATGAGAAGCAGACAGGAGCCCCACCCCAGCCGAGACACAGGAAACGCTTGCGGATGATGCGATTCCTGAGGCGGCCCGTCACCGCCATGTAGGACTGCCACGCCTCCGTCAGAACCCAGCAGAAAGAGGACAGGAAGAAGAAGTGGAGGAACGCCGCGATCAGGGTGCACAAGACCTGGAACATCAGACAGAGAGGAGAAGAAGGAAAAAAAAACATTCTTAATCAAAATGTCGTCATCACCGTGAGCATACATCCGAGACTCTGACTGGCTCTCACCTTATTCCGTGTCTGTGTCTGTCCAATGAGGATAAGTGCGTTGGAGGAGATGATGGAGAGGCAGAAGTTAATGAGGATGACTGAGCGCTCAGACCGGATGTACCTGCAGGAAAATAACAGAGATGAAAGAAGTCTGAATGCAGAACAGACCTGCAGCCAAGACCAGGTTTCAGGGTTCGGCTTTTCTCCACATCAGTGATGTGATGATGGGAAACCTTTAACAGTTCAACAAGACTCAGTCATTTACATCATTCACCTGGGGCATGAGACCGAACAAGACAATTTAGTATCTTAATCCAGTTCAGCCCAAATATCACCATATACCGTATTATCCTATATAATGTACAGTAAGCAGAGCAGACTGTGGAAACTGAAAAATTCCATATTATGAAAAATATTTAATTCGGCGGGAAATATCACAGAATACTGACATATTCTGTATTATCAAATATCTTCCTTCATCCAGTCATTGTGTTCATGTTAGCCAATTTCTGTTTCCAGGGTGAGTGACCCAATGCTTTCTAAAACCACATCGAAGAAAATATAACACCCTGTCCACAGCAGATCAAATGAACTTTAAGACTCTAACACACATACTAACACACCAAGACTGAGCCCAGACAAGTCCAGAGCCTGAGACTGAATGATGACCAAGGCAAACGTAACCAACAACAGTCCTGTCCCAAGACTACACCTAAACCAGCACGCTGTACTTTGTAACCCTGGTGTTTCACAGTTAAATATGACATGACCTTAGAAATCACTCAAGATCCAAAAACACAATGATTTTAAACATGGAGGATTAGATGGTAAAAATACTGTAGTGAGCTGCACATGGAAATTCTTTTAATAATGTCACTGTAAAGTCTGATGAGCTTCCCTAAAATCCAGGCGATCTAGTGGTTCATGATGCTACACCACAGTTCATTAAAACAACTCAGAAAATGACTTATTTCACTTATGGTCTAATTGGTCGGACTTGATGTCACCTTTCCTAGACTGACGCTCACACGGGACCAGGAAATAATTAATACATTTTTATTTGGAAGATCTTTGCAGCATTGGCGACTTTCCCCATCATGTAAATCGAGTTATTACAACGTCACAAAAAGGTTATTATAAGTTAAAATGTATCGTAGGTGATCGCTGGCAACAAACTCTCAAACTGTGAATACAAAACACCATGAACAAACTGATGCATTTTGTTTCGTAGTTTGTAGCAGTTCAGACCAGTTTTGACTAAAGGGTCTAATTAGAGATCAAACCCTACAGAGGTTTTCATGCATGCAGTCCCATTAAACCCTGGTTATTCTAATTCAAAACACACACAATGATCCATAAACAATGAAAGAAAAAATACTCTATTTAAATGAACTCCACCACACACAATAGATTTTCAAAGTTTAAAGGGAAAATAAAGTCAAAGAAAACCAAAGTTCTTTCTCCCTCCTTTCTCCTTCATTCCAAATTTCCAACTCAGTTTGACTAGCAACCAAATCCACCTCGGGTTTTCTCGGTATCAGTCCAGTGACATAAAAATCTCCTCAACGGGTTTTCCTAGCATCCAATAACAAAACTCAAATAAGGAAGTCCAGTCAATTTAGTGCTCAAAGGAAAATCGACAAAACACCAACATGAAGCCACTCGGCTTCCACAGACTCAGTTACGGTGGCGAGTGTTTACCTCTCCCACATCGCATTTTTACAGATTGTGTGAAAAGTCTGCTAATGGTGTTTTGTATTTGCATTTAGTGAATAGTAGGACATTTGTTTAAGTTTAGCTCCATAATGTTTAACTGACTCTGACCATCTCGTAGTGAATCTAGAGATTGTATCTACGAGCGGGACAGACTGAAAAAAAAAACTGATCTGAGCTCAGTTTGTGTTTGTTGAGGAGATATTATCTGGATGGATGATGACTGCACAGTGTCTGGATTCTGCTTTATTCAGTGTGTCCCTGCCGGTTAGGTAACAGCAGCTAACAGCTGTCTGCAGATATCAGGCTGACGTCTTGTCAACACAAACAGTGCAGATGAATTAGTGAGCAGACTTTCACTCTCTGTCCTGTCTGTGCTCAGACTCATCATTAGAGAGTTAAAGCATCTGCTGCCGACAGTCCATGTGTAGCTTTATACAATACTATCTGTTTTTTTAAATATGCATGATGATGACAGGATTTTAATATTATTGTTGAAGTGTTTTGCACACAGATGTGTTACGACTGGTGCGAACAGGGAACCTGGAACACAGGGAGGGAACCAATTGCAGACAGTGGGGCAGAGCTAATGTGATTTAATAAACGCAGTCAAACAAAGGCTGATGACATGGTGAGGCAGTCAGGGGTCAGAAACAGTAAAGGCCGTCCAACACAGGCAAACAGGAAAAGTCACAGTTTTCACAATAAAGTATCATCAAGGTGTTTTGCATTTCCTGACCAAGTTTGAGGTGGGTGTGGTCAACCCTCATGACATTTCCTGTTGCCGTTCGGTCTCTAATTATTCACTGTTTCTGACGAGTGAACAACGAGTCAAGTGTGGTAACTACTCAACACTGGCTCATGTGTTTTGTATTGAAACTTCTTGTCAGGAACATGATAGCAGAGGCTTTTTTCTCTTGGTTAATGCTGATTCATCACACACAGCCCCAGTGCAAACGTTTCCAGTGCGAGATGTACTCATCTCACCTCCAGACAGACACGTAGATGATGATGAGCAGCAGCAGTGTCAGTGAAGAGACTCCACAGCCCACAATCAGCGTCACCGACGGGAGCTGTGTCTTATCCATGTTCTGAAACAACAGAGGAAGAAAATGTCGGTGGTTACATCTCCAAACATGATGACATCATCAGTATTCACTGACCCATCAACTCTGTGAGCAGTAATGTACCTCAGCTCAGTTATCTTCGCTCTATTATTATAGTGTGATTACTGACAGCAGTCACACCAAAGAGATGCTGGCTCTTTATCACATCTTGTATTTTCTAGCTGCTGTGACTTTTAGTGGTGATCTCTCTAATGGCCGATTTTATATGAATATTTTTATGAATTTTTGAAGTGAATGGGATCCTATGAGAGAGAGTCAGACTCAACTTTCTTCGAACCTGCTTGACTTTAACAGCGTACCGCTCCGGCAGACTCCACTCGAGCTTTAAAATACTCACAAGACTTTGATCTGTCGGTGCTGTGCTCTGCATCTGCTGAAAATGTGTAGTTTAGGAGGTTTTACCTGGAAAGTGAAGGGTTCTACAGCTTTTGGCAGATTTTATCAGCGTGTCACGTGACCAACTAGAGTGTGGAGCGGAACATTTTCTCTAAACTGCTCCTGGCTGCACAGATTTATCTCCATAAGCACACGATAGGCATCAGGACGTAGCCACAAGCCTCCTCTCTGAAAATGAATACATCTAACTCCACTGAGGTTTAACCCTTAACTGACAGGTAACCCCCAGTCAAGCTCCCGTTCACTACAATAGAAACTGCAGGCTGACCTCGTCCTCAGCTTAGACAAGAAGAACACGTGGCACATTTATTGCGTGAGGGAGCAAACAGCAACATCCTGCTAACTGTCTAACTTTCAATAATTGACTTATTTGCAACATTTCAGTGCTGGACCATCTTAAATAGAAGTGGCTGTAAGTCCGCAACCAATCACATCAGAGAGTAACAAACATCATTTGACTATGTACCAATTTCTAGTATCAAGATAAAGATAGAAGATTGAAACTTAAAACTTTTAGAGTAAATTGGTAAATGACTCTAAAATGTCATTCTCGAACAGATTCAAACAAAGATCCATTCCCCAATGTTACAGGTTACGTTTGTAGATGAAACGATCAATTTACATGTTGTGAATAGCAGCATCAATACATGTATTGATCAACACATGTATTGATGCTGTTATGAACTGGGTCTGGCTCAGACAATGTTTTGAAAAGTGTATCCCAGGACACCACATGTGTTTCTCTGCCAGCATCATTGATCAGTTGCACCTGTAACCAAACCCAGCAGTGATGTCATAGTGTACTCCTTATACTCCTTTAAGTTCATTTAATAATAATAATAATAATAATAATAATAATAATAATAATAACTTTATTTATATAGCACAGAGTTACAAAGTGCTGACAGAGAAGAGAGAAGTGTCAATTAACAAGGTGAGTACAACAGGGAGAATTAGAAATACCTGCATTAAACAATGAAATCAATAAAACAGACAAAAAATAAAACCAAAAGTAGAAACCAAAGATAAAAGCATTGAAATCAAGTTACAAGCTGCTTTATCTGAGTATGTTTCCAGTAGTGTTTTAAACTGGGGCCTGGTCTCCTCAGCCAGGACACTCCACAGTCTGGGGAATGACAGATATGACCTGATTTTGGTCAATATCCCATAGCTGATAAAAACATGAGTCGACAACCCCTTTTACATGGAGGTCCAGTTCATAATCAGAGTCGAATACAACACCAAGATTTCTGGCAGAGGACTTTAGGTTGGAAGCCAGCGGGGGCAATGAGAATGACCTCAGATTTGGTGTCACTGGGCTAGAGGAAGTTGTCACACACGCTGCTTGTTCCATGTGATGTAGTAAAAGTGAGTTTATACATGTTCAGTGACTGAAGATGGAGGAAGTGGCTCAGGAAAAAGAAACAGCTCTGGGTTCAATGTCTTCCTGGCAGATTCTTGTTGATGCTATTTTTTATTGTTGTTTTTGTTCAGGGTCAAATTTAACTTGGTTGTGATTTCCCCCTTTTAGCAAATGTTAAATTGTTCCAATGGAAACTAGTGAATAAACAGTAAACAAGAATGTTTTAAAGCAGACAGATGAGGTGATCATATTTCTAGGCCTTTATAGCCCAGTCCTCTGTGCTCACACAGGCAGTACAGACAACGGACATTTCCCAATTCAACTTGAGAGACTGATGATTTGACTAGAGACTCACAGATAGATGACTGAGGTCAGTGAGTTGACTGGCTGTACGGAACACACACACACACACACACACACACACACACACACACACACACACACACACCAGAGGAAGGCCAGCTCTGCCTTAACAAGCTCAGAGATCAGCTAAAAGAATTTCACTGGTGGAGCTTCAGTACAGAGGATTCTCTACTAACAATAAAATTATGTGGGGAATACACATACACACACACACACACACACACACACACACACACACACACACACACTGTACATGCAGGTATCTGGAATGTATGGCTGGAGACTCGACATGGACAGGCTGGTTGTTTTTTGGGCTGTGGTTGCAGAGCAAGGTGACTTCAAGGTGATTCATGAATCACCCACAACACCTCAAATCAACAGAAACACACACACACACATACACACACACACACACACACACACACACCTGGTGATGTGGGCCAAGTCAACTTCCTGAAATCAACATGCACATGATGAAGTTGCTTTCTCATCCTGACAACTGACACTTAAGCACCATCCCCATGCTACAGCAGACATTGTCTCGGTTGCCACAGCAACACTGTATCATGGCATCAGCAGCTGCAGCAGGGAGCATGGCTGTTGTGTAAGGCTGTGTGTTTATGTCTATGCTGCTTGTTATTTTTCCGTTTGCCAGCACTGATCTTTAAAAACAGAGTGATTAAAAATGATTTATTTATCCAGCTCGTTATCCTGACTAAAATTCACTGAAGAGATTAAAAACTTCCTCAGATCTGATACACGATCAACCACAGAGGCAGTAAGTACTGTAGTCTGCAGAAATATACATAAAATAAAATAGAAGATGATGTGACATCATGACCTCAGAGCCCTTTGATACAAACAGCAGCACTGCATCAGAAGCTACAGGCTCCTGCAGGAACAGCAGGGCTCCTGCCACAGAGGCTGAAGTAATGTAGCTTGTATCTGGCAGACGATTGGCCAATCACATACATTAACATTTCACTGCGCCTACAACATCATGCAAACGTCCCCGGCACCTTTAGATTCTTAACCGCCACACAGTACCACCAGGGAGGCGATTGATTGGTCCAAAATCTCTATACAGCAGGACAATGGCCCCAAACACATAAAGAACTGTCTTCATGTCTTTTCAAACACAGTGAGACAGTCAGAACATACATATGACTGACATTCACATTACCTCTCCTGCGTTTGGAAACATTTCAGATTTTATAACTTCGAGGGGAAGAAGCAGCTCGATCAGACCCATGTTATCTGCAGCTTTATTTATAAGATTAGATCATCTGTAAAGCGTATGTCATGTAGAAATGGTTTAAATTATCATATTGACATTTTAGGTGTATCAATTGATTTCCAAATGTCAATCCTGCACTGAGTAACACGTAAGAAAACATTCCACCTTAAAAGTTTCTTGAGGAAAAGAATTGAGATCGAATGGAATCGTGAGATTTTCTGAATCACGCACTTCTAGAATTCATCTACCTACACTCCTGTCCCTCTTACTTTGCTTTGGACATACATGAGCTGGTTCAATCAGTGAACTTCTGTGTGTCAATATGAGCCCCCAGTTCTCCTTGACCCACAAATTACATTTGACTGTTGTGGGAGAAGATAGTCGCTAGCTAGCAGGTTTCTGGTGCAGTGTTAAATCTTGTCAATTCTGTGTCATAAATCAGATCAAAAGTGCCTTGTACAGTGTGAGAAGAGATTCCAAACAAGGTATTGCATAAATATATTCAGGTGTGAAAATATAAATTCATTAATATGGAAATATGAAAAATGTGAATGTATTAATTATTAAACACAGATCTCAGAGGTCTCTAAAGGTGTATGTAATACTTTTTTTTTATCAACCACAATGCACTGAAAGTTGATTCGCACTTACTTACTTACTTATTCCTTGATCAGATAGTTATTGATCCAAGTCACAATTCTGCCAATTTTAGACAACAGAGAATATTTCAGAACTGCATGAACATCAACAGGAAGAACGTCTGTTTGACAGTAAGTTCGAGCGCCAACACTTTGATCAGTTGCACCGTCTCAACTTATGCTGCAACGTCACTAAGTGGAACACAATCAGAACACTGTTGCAGCAGGTGAAGTTTCCTCCTGTGCAGCATTCATGTTATCAGGTAGAGAAAGACACTACTAACTAAGTAGTAAATGCTATTACATGTAAACAAGCTAATATATTATACAACATATGTCTAATGTGTCAGGTCGAACATCAGCTCAAGTCAAATGGCTCCAAATATGACCATAAACCATATTAACAACATACATAAAAACCTTTCTGCTGAAATTCACCTTCACAGTCACAACATAGTAACAGAGACAATCCTCAGCTCTGGTGAAAGCAGCATAAAAACTTTCTTCTGCTCACGTCTCCTCCAAACAACAGAACAGCACAGCACCAAGCATGCCTTCATATCAACGAAACCTTTCTTCCAGTCATTATTCTCTTCCATCTTTCCAGCTGCCATGGCAACAGTGAATGAGGACCTGACGTCCATCTACTTGGAAAAAAGATAAATTTTAAGCTCCATCTTCACTCTAATAATTTCTAACTTGTATAATATGACACATATTTAACTCCAAAACTGACAATAGCCTCATGCTAGCATGCTCACAGTGAGCTAGCATGTGGATGTTAAGCAGGTAAAATGTTTATCATGTTCACCATCTTACAATATGAAAAGTCTGAAGATCAAAGTTATTACAATTCATCTTCTGGGGTCCATGAATGTGTGTGCACCAAATCCCACGGCAACCCAAATTTCAATAAAAATGAAAATGTGAAGCTCATGTGGTTCTAGAGGAGAAATCAGGGATCACT